GGGGTTAGCTGTAGATAATTTAAGAGAAAACAAACATCAAAACATATGATGGGCCAGTCAACTTCCTGGACTACAAGCTACCCGCTTCTACTTAGCCACATTCTTTTCTGCCCAGAACAAGACAACGATTTGTTCTTAAGCAACACAAATGAACCAGTTTAAAGGACAACCATGTTTCTTCATTCTGGGCACAAAATACTACTGTTGTAGCTTAAATACTTTACATGAGAATCTTACATACTAAAATAGACTGATGATCTTAAACTGGCTTCGGGTATCTAAACAATTATTTTTAAAAATCTGAATTGCACAATAATGCATTTTATTACATGAAGCACACATTGGAAGGAGTTGGCTGTTTTCAAGCCGCTGGCTTTGAAAACATGTCACTCCCACTGGAGAATGATGAGGCGCTGCTCCGATAATAAATTATAGTCTGGGAAACCCTATAAAGGGTCATTATCAGTCAGAATCAGCTCGATGGCAGTGAGTCTGGGTTTGCCATGAGTGAGCCTGGCTGTATTTGCTAGCAGCTGAGTGATCTTGCTCAATTAATAATTCCTTTTCTGCTTCAATTATCTCCATAAGATCAGGAAGATGATAATAATACCCACTCAAAGGCGATTGGGAAGATCAAATGAGACTTGTCATAGGCATTTGGCGGTGAAACATCTTTCTACCATTTTGAAGTGGTCGAAGGACATACAGTGTAATAACTTGGACATGGGGCTCTGGAACCAGAAGCATCCCTACGAAGTCCCAGTGGGCAAAACCGAGAGGGCCACCCATTCACTGGGTTCATCTTCCTAAAAGTGATTAAACGATTTTTGATATTTTTCTGTATTCTGACTTGGTAGGTCTTAACAGGGTCACTTAAATGCTTTCCTCAATAATTTTGGGATAATTCCTGTGGTTCTCAGAACCGGATTTCACAAAGTAGTAAAATTTCAAATCAATGTAGGAGACTAAGGGTCCAAACATTTTGTTTCACCGTGTAAGGATTGCAAGAACCACATTAACCACCAGCATCTGACTCTCATTCTCTCAAAAGGGCTTCAACACTGAAAACAGCAAGAAAGCAGAATGAGGGTCAATAAGAATAGTAAAATAACAGTGATGAATGACAACCGATTAAGTTTCACTTATGAGGATGCTTCTGATAAAGCAGGTTACATCTGGCTCATTTATTCTGAACTACTACAATGATCTCATTGATTCCACCACTTGAAGGAAAACCCACACGTGTGAAGGACACGCTCTCCTTCAGTGATATTTGTTAAGAGGTTAACCATTTCATGAACATACATTTAGTAAGATAAAGTATATGCCAATATTAGCATAAAAGGTCTGTCCATCTCAACTAGAGAAAAGAGTACATCTACCTGGAAACACGTCACCTTGTGTACACAGATCAAGGGCAATGTGTCACTGGCCTGGCCTTTCCCCAGGAGACCAATAGTACACTTTCTGTACACAGATCAAGGGCAATGCTCCATCAGCCTGCCCTTTTCCCAGGAGACCGACAGCAGTGAGAAAGCCCAAGGAAGGGAAGTGTGCTTTCAATCTACAAGTCACAAAGGTGACCTGCTGGGAGAAAATGGATTGCTTGTGGCAGACTACCAGAGGTTTCCAAGCAATACTTGGAAGAGCCACTGAAAACTATTTTCTCTGACAGATGCCAGAAAGCAGATTTCTTGATGGAAATCTGTGTTGAGAAATTAAGGAGCACAGATCTTTTGTGTTCAACTTGAAACAACTTTAGAACTCCTTTGCTAGTCTTACTCTAGATTCTAGGCTCTGTTAAAACACAAAACAAAACAAAAGATGAGTTAGGGGATGGCGTACAGGCTTATTGTGGGGTCAGGTACCACTTATGGAAATGGATGGGTG